CAACTAAAGAAACACACCAATACTACTAAAGAAACACACCAATACTACTAAATAATTTGAATAGTTACAGTTGTAGCTGTGCTTGTGTTTTGAATCCTTGTTCTGTAACAAAGTCCACGTTTGATTTAGCTTCAGTTTTTTGACAAACATTCTGTGGTACAAGAATTCTCTGGTACAATATGGAATTCATGGTTGACGCATGCAGCAAACAGCAAAGCAGCCCCAAAACATAATGCCACCGCCTCCAAACGTTATGGTTGGCATAAGGCAGTGTTTAATTGTTTGCCAAACATGGCGTCTGGAATTGCAAATCCACCCCCATCTACTGTCAATCACCTGACCCTGGACAACTGCATAAAGTCAATCCATTATAATATTCACCTGTGAAATATTAATCATCATCTCACGCCTGAGGCTGACTGGGTCCAGCGCACTGGTACACAAATTATACATGTAAAATATCTGTAGCAAACAGCTCGTGGGTGAATTATTCACTGCTCAAACACTATGGACACTGTACTGTTGTTTGTCAAACAATATGGACATTATTCCCTTTAAAACCACATTGGGGTTGAGACATTCTGTCTTCTCTAAAGGGTGTTTCAAGTACACTCTTATGAGAGAAAAAGGAAATGCATGCTTGCATGTTTGTTTGGCATGAAAGGGTTTAAAACCTTACTGTGCATTACACCAGGAGAGTGTCAAAAGTAAAAGGGAGAGGTTGATGTAGGAGGAGGAAGGTTGTGTTCAATTATGCATGTGTTTTATATTGTACTGAATTATTCCTAAAACACTTTATTGAACCAAAAACTCAACTACTACAGACAGATACTGCCTGACTCAATATCTGTAACATGAAATACATCTAGGTCAGTGGAAGGACAGAAACATATCAATATGTTATGTTGTTTGGTCCAAAATAGTCGAGGTAATTCAGGGAGGATACACTGCTCTGTTTAAATGGGATGGAAACCATTTACTGCTTATTGTCCTGTATTTGAACGGTGGAGGTTTTCAGAGGAAAGCAGATTTCAGACCGGTTATATTAAGACTTCCAAACTGCGGCACCATAGGAACTAACTTCATTTCTTAGGACGTTCATCCACGTGAAGTTAAGGGGCTGTTGAAGTCAACATTATAAGGGGTAAGAACCTGAATGAATCCATTACGTGTGTTGGTTTGATGATAAAAAGGATTTCACATTAATTTCAGTTGTTTGTCACATTCTGTGTTCCCGGTCAATCTGTCGTGTTCCCGGTAAGTCTGTGGTTTTCCCGGTCAGTCTGTCGTGTTCCCGGTCAGTCTGTGGTTTTCCCGGTCAGTCTGTCGTGTTCCCGGTCAGTCTGTCGTTTTCCCGGTCAGTCTGTCGTGTTACAGCAAGATGAAGGCAGTCTGCACAGCTGGGCATTGTCTGCCTTATTTCGTTACAGAACACACGTCTTTATTGCTGGTGAACCCACGTGGTAAATACCTAACGTCAACTAGGTTTCATTTACTAACATGACCTGTAAAACGTAACAGAGAATATGCATCATTAAGCTAAACATTTGGTGAAAATAAGAAATGATCAGCTGTGAACATTAATTAAACATTTGGTGAAAATAAGAAATGATCAGCTGTGAACATTAATTAAACATTTGGTGAAAATAAGAAATGATCAGCTGTGGACATTAATTAAACGTTTGGTGAAAATGAGAAATGATCAGCTGTGGACATTAATTAAACGTTTGGTGAAAATGAGAAATGATCAGCTGTGGACATTAATTAAACATTTGGTGAAAATAAGAAATGATCAGCTGTGAACATTAATTAAACATTTGGTGAAAATGAGAAATGATCAGCTGTGGACATTAATTAAACGTCTGGTGAAAATAAGAAATGATCAGCTGTGGACATTAATTAAATGTTTAAATCAGATTAAAGAAACTTGATTGATACCTCAACCGTTCACAAGTTTGGAGTCAGTCAACTCCTTGTTGTTGAAAGAAAAGCTATTTCTCTGTTCAATAAAACAACAAATGGATCAGAAATACAGAGTAGACATTGTGAATGTCTTTAATGGCTGGAAGTCTTCAAACCATCAGTGTTCCAATGGCACATTTTGTTTGCCTATCCAAGCTAATCATGCTAGTTAATCTTTATGCAACTATGATCATTTTGCAAACTGTTGTGCTAATTAAAGAAGCGATAGAACTGGCCTTCTCCAGTCTGGTTGAGTGTCTGGAGCATCAGAATTACGGGGTTCAATTGCAAGTTCAAAATGCTTAGTAGCAACAAAACATTCTTCTGAAACGTCTCAGTCGATTGTTGTCAGGAGAAACCGGCAGCAAACATGTTTTACTCATAGAATGTGTCAAGGTTACCAGACTCTGGTCAGTACGCTAGTCCAATGGTAGTGAAATCTGGTTTTCAAAGTCTTCCAACTGCAAACCCCTAAGTTTGGGCTTAGCTTAGCTTAGCTTAGCCAGCTCTTCAATCTCATAATCAATTGCACACACCTTATGTCCCAGGTCTGAATTTCAGTCCCTGATTAGGGGGTTGTGACGAAAGACTGGAGTGGAGTTGGCTTTCCGGAGCCAGATTCAAATATCACTGCTCTAGAACATAAAGAGGACATGGTTCTATTCAGGATCCCGGCTGGGGTTCTTATTAGGGTTTTGTCCCGGTATATTCACATCTGACAGGAGACTGAGGGGATCTGACGCTGTTCGGGTCAACAAACATTGAAGCAGGACAAGTCTGAGTGATAGAGGGACTTGAAGTGTAGTCTGGGAGAGGGGGACGTTTTTGGCATGGCGAGAGAGCGTGGATAGAAAGACAGATTCCCCTCCATCCATCCATCCACTCCTCCAACTTCATCATCACCCCATCTCCAGCCAGATGACCCCACCCAAATGCATGAAGGGTTTTCACACTGTTGACTTGTTGATCAGTGTGTTACAATCTCTCCCTTCAACCTCCTCTGCATCAAGTCAGCCAATCAGTCAGCCAGCCGGTCAACCAGCCAGTCAGCCTCTGGAGGAGCAGTCACACATGCCCTGGCAGAGACACTGGCAGAACCCATAGACCAGACACACGGTGAGGCTGGATGGCACCAGGCTGACACACACGATGCCCAGTGACACCCTCTGGATCACCAGCAGGTAGATGCCCAGCGGCAGGGAGCCGAAGTAGAAGAAACCCAGGAGCCACACCAGAACCCTGGGCACGTGGGTACAGAACCTAGACAGGGCGTCCTGCACCTCGGGACCGTTGGAGACCACAGAGATGGAGTCCAGGCTGTGCTCCGGGTAGTAGTCCGAGCTGCTCGGGCCGAGGGTGGGCGAGCCCGAATCCCGCGGCACCTCCATGATGGTGATGATCAGGCAGTTGGAGGAGTCTCGGGACGGGGAGTTGGACGAAAGGCTCCCCGGGGAGAGCACCACCTCCTTGGCATGGTCAGAACTCCACGACTTGTCCCTGACGGCCAAGCGGGACATGATGTTGGAGTCGTCCGGGAGTCCAGACACCTCGTACTCGCTGACCTCGGTCTCGTGGCGGCAGAAGGGGCAGGAGATGTGGCCTGAGCCGTCGCCCAGGTCCAGGATCCGGTTTAGGCAACGGGCACAGACGCGGTGGAGGCAGTCCAGGATTTTGGGCCTGCGCTGGTGGCCGTTGTAGCGCTGGTAACAGATCTGGCAGTCCAACTCATCTGTGACGGGCGTCAGCGGGGGGCTGAGGTTTAGCGTCGGGGCGCTGGCGACCGGGGTGAGGGCGACCGGGGTGAGGGCGACCGGGGTGAGGACCGGGGTCAGAGACACAGCAAACGGGGGCTTCTCAGCCGGCTCATCCTGAGGGACCTTCATTCTGGTCTTACGTCCTGGATGAGGAGAGAGTGAGAGACAGAGAGAGACTGTGTTCATTAGAGCAGTTGGTATAGCTCAGTGGTGGAGTGCCTGATCTGTAACTATGAGGTCCTGGGTTCCTATTGGAGGAGTTGGTATCTCAGTGGTGGAGTGCCTGATCTGTAAGTATGAGGTCCTGGGTTCCTATTGGAGGAGCTGGTATCTCAGTGGTGGAGTGCCTGATCTGTAAGTATGAGGTCCTGGGTTCCTATTGGAGGAGCTGGTATCTCAGTGGTGGAGTGCCTGATCTGTAAGTATGAGGTCCTGGGTTCCTATTGGAGGAGTAGGTATCTCAGTGGTGGAGTGCCTGATCTGTAAGTATGAGGTCCTGGGTTCCTATTGGAGGAGCTGGTATCTCAGTGGTGGAGTGCCTGATCTGTAAGTATGAGGTCCTGGGTTCCTATTGGAGGAGCTGGTATCTCAGTGGTGGAGTGCCTGATCTGTAAGTATGAGGTCCTGGGTTCCTATTGGAGGAGTAGGTATCTCAGTGGTGGAGTGCCTGATCTGTAACTATGAGGTCCTGGGTTCCTATTGGAGGAGTTGGAATAGCTCAGTGGTGGAGTGCCTGATCTGTAAGTATGAGGTCCTGGGTTCCTATTGGAGGAGCTGGTATCTCAGTGGTGGAGTGCCTGATCTGTAAGTATGAGGTCCTGGGTTCCTATTGGAGGAGTTGGTATCTCAGTGGTGGAGTGCCTGATCTGTAAGTATGAGGTCCTGGGTTCCTATTGGAGGAGTTGGTATCTCAGTGGTGGAGTGCCTGATCTGTAAGTATGAGGTCCTGGGTTCCTATTGGAGGAGCTGGTATCTCAGTGGTGGAGTGCCTGATCTGTAAGTATGAGGTCCTGGGTTCCTATTGGAGGAGCTGGTATCTCAGTGGTGGAGTGCCTGATCTGTAAGTATGAGGTCCTGGGTTCCTATTGGAGGAGTAGGTATCTCAGTGGTGGAGTGCCTGATCTGTAACTATGAGGTCCTGGGTTCCTATTGGAGGAGTTGGAATAGCTCAGTGGTGGAGTGCCTGATCTGTAAGTATGAGGTCCTGGGTTCCTATTGGAGGAGTTGGTATCTCAGTGGTGGAGTGCCTGATCTGTAAGTATGAGGTCCTGGGTTCCTATTGGAGGAGTTGGTATCTCAGTGGTGGAGTGCCTGATCTGTAAGTATGAGGTCCTGGGTTCAATCCCCAGCTTCTCCCCAGGTCGCCGTTGCAAATGTGAATTTGTTCTCAACCGGCCTATTTGATTAAATAAAGGTTAGATAAGACCTCACATAGGAGAGCCAGTTAGAGAGCAATTAGTTAGTCTGACCTGTAACCAAAAAGAGATAGACAAGTTCAGACAGTCTTATTCAACAAATCCCAAGGCAGACAGGCCAGAAAGCATGGAGAAATGTACAGTAAGCATTCCTATATTTCCCATTGTGATTTGTGTCCCACAGTAAGGGAATAAACATTGTCATTGTTGGCATCATTTTGATGCAGTAAAAGCTGTTGTTTATGCCAAAGCAGCTGTTGCCTAGTCACTGTTGCCTAGTCACTGTTGCCTAGTCACTGTTGCCTCGTCACTGTTGCCTAGTCACTGTTGTCTAGTCACTGTTGCCTAGTCACTGTTGCCTAGTCACTGTTGCCTAGTCACTGTTGCCTAGTCACTGTTGCCTAGTCACTGTTGCCTAGTCACTGTTGCCTAGTCACTGTTGCCTAGTCACTGTTGCCTAGTCACTGTTGCCTAGTCACTGTTGCCTAGTCACTGTTGCCTAGTCACTGTTGCTGGGGGTGAGTTTAACAAGACCAACATTGCAGGCTGTTTCTGCAGGAGTTTTGGTCCACATCCCAATTACCATACTATACTCTATACTACACTATATATACTATACTCTACTTTGTACACTATGACTCATGGTAGAAGTGCAGTATGAAGGTGTTGAGTGCCAGATTGGGGCCGGCTTGTTTGCCTACTGTAAAGGTCACTTCCAGCTGTGTTTGATGAATGATTTATATCTTAACCTTTAGCTGAAGGCGCCTGTAGAGAGGTTTACTGGAGGAAATATGAACCTAGCTGTGACATACATGATCAATATCACCGTTCATTTAGCATCAATACCAAGCAAGTCATCTGAAAGCATGACAATCATTCGGGTAATGATTACATTATGTGCTCTTAACACACACACACAGTGACAGATCTGTAGGTAATCAGTTGATCAGGCTCACCAGGAGGTAAATACAAAAAGTATCCAGAGTGACCTGCCGCATCGCTATGGCGACACAGGGTGTGAGATCACCATGGTTACTACTGATGCCCTGTCCCTGCTGTCACTGCTGGACAGAGATTAGCAGGTGTGTGTGTGTGTGTGTGTGTGTGTGTGTGTGTGTGTGTGTGTGTGTGTGTGTGTGTGTGTGTGTGTGTGTGTGTGTGTGTGTGTGTGTGTGTGTGTGTGTGTGTGTGTGTGTGTGTGTTAGAACAAAGTACAGTCTTCATGATGTGTATTCTTTGACATCTGTTGCTACATTACCTAAATCAGATAATGTCTTTCGACCAGAGCCAGGCTATTTTAAAACACAGCTGACAATAGGTGAGTTGTTTATTTTGCTGATAAGCATACAAGCTATAATTTATTTAACACCATGACACTTTATAAAGCTATATTAAGATCTCCCATCCATTCTCTCAGTCCTTTATTTATGAACATTAAATATACATGTCAATCTATTATGAATGAAAAGTGGTGGTTCCCTGTATTCCTCCTCTCCCTCTCTATCTCTCTCCCTCGCTCTCTCTCTCTCTCTCCCCCTCTCTCCCTCTCTCTCTCTCTCTCCCTCCCTCTCCTTTCTCTCTCCCTCCCTCTCTCTCTCTCTCTCTCTCTCCCTCCCCTCTCCTTTCTCTCCCTCCCCTCTCTCTCTCTCTCTCTCTCTCTCTCTCTCTCCTTGCTCTCTCTCCCTCTCTCTCCCCCTCTCTCTCTCCCTCTCTCTCTCTCTCCCTCTCCTCTCTCCCCCCTCTCTCTTGTTCTCCATCCCTCTCTTTTAATCTCTCTGTTTCTGGCTAGCACACACACCCTCTCCTCCTCTCTCCCCCCTCTCTCTTGTTCTCCATCCCTCTCTTTTAATCTCTGTTTCTGGCTAGCACACACCCTCTCCTCTGCGTATCTCTACCGCACACATTCTGTCTCATCTCCCACACACAATCACAATCTATATCCATCTATAATGACATTTATTTTCCATTCCCCTCACAATATTCCCAGTTCCCATGATAACAATGTGTGAATTTATTGAGAATAAAAAACGTTAAGTGTTCCAACTCTTTTCTCAGCTTCTTGTAGAAGTGTCTTCAGTAGCAATCACAGTTTGGTACACCTGGATTTGGGCAATATTTCATATTCATGAATTATTCATCCTCTAAAGCTCCTTTAGATTGTATGGGGTGTGTCTGTGGACTGTGACGATCGATGTCTCAAATGATCTAATCATTATTAATGCGACAGCATCTAAACAATGGCACCTCATCCACACGATCACTTAATCCTAAACATGATTACTTAAGATGGGGACAGAATTCCACGATGACACAGCTGTTTGTTCCTTAACACCTGTCTTTAATTCCGGCACCAGAATCTCGTATTATTATTCTGTCGTGTCTATTTGGCGTGTGCATGGTGGCTTTCATATCTTCTCACTGGCTCAAGTGGAACAATTTTTTCAGAGTCAAAAATCATTATTTTCAAGTTGTATCCGTAGAACTGAGTGAAAACTCACATTTTTTTCCGTGAACAATCAACGTAACAGGAATCACCTGTGAGCCAAATATCCCAATATATCTGGTATAGAAAAACCGGGGAGATGGAACTCACAAAGAGATGTCATTCGCTTCAAAAACTGACAGAAAGGTGACATGAGCGTAAATGTTGCAGAAACAGCAATTTTGACTTATTTTCATTGATGATACAGTATGTCAGTTCTACACGATAGGGTTCTGCTGTATGTTCTCCATCTGTAGTAAAACCTCTAGATGCAGTCTGTCAGTTCTACATGATAGGGTTCTGCTGTATGTTCTCCATCTATAGTAAAACCTCTAGATGCAGTCTGTCAGTTCTACATGATAGGGTTCTGCTGTATGTTCTCCATCTATAGTAAAACCTCTAAATGCAGTCTGTCAGTTCTACATGATAGGGTTCTGCTGTATGTTCTCCATCTATAGTAAAACCTCTAGATGCAGTCTGTCAGTTCTACATGATAGGGTTCTGCTGTATGTTCTCCATCTATAGTAAAACCTCTAGATGCAGTCTGTCAGTTCTACATGATAGGGTTCTGCTGTATGTTCTCCATCTATAGTAAAAACTCTAAATGCTGTCTGTCAGTTCTACATGATAGGGTTCTGCTGTATGTTCTCCATCTATAGTAAAACCTCTAAATGCAGTCTGTCAGTTCTACATGATAGGGTTCTGCTGTATGTTCTCCATCTGTAGTAAAACCTCTAGATGCAGTCTGTCAGCTCTACATGATAGGGTTCTGCTGTATGTTCTCCATCTGTAGTAAAACCTCTAGATGCAGTCTGTCAGTTCTACATGATAGGGTTCTGCTGTATGTTCTCCATCTGTAGTAAAACCTCTAGATGCAGTCTGTCAGTTCTACATGATAGCGTTCTGCTGTATGTTCTCCATCTGTAGTAAAACCTCTAGATGCAGTCTGTCATGCAGCGTTGCATTTTATTACTGCGATGACCTTTGTCCTAATCGCACATCTTTTATGCACTTTACATCATGGAATGATTTGCAGTATAACTATGCATTCCAGTGCTTGCAGGATTTAATTCAATTTAAAGGTTTTTCATAATTGTGCTTTTCATATTTGATGGAACACAATAAATGAAAGAGAAACCTAACAGAATGAATAAAGTGCTGGTACCATTCTACATCCATTTTCCTTTTCTCTTTGTCTGCTTGTCTGCCTGGCTGTCGGTTTGTCTGCCTGTCCATCTCTCTAATAAGTGTTGTTTTCTGTCTATTTTAATACATGTCTAGTTGCTGAACTAATTGGATTCACACAATGTGTCAGTCTGTTGTCATCCAGAGCTCTAATCTGAGGGGAGGAAGTGAAGAAGAGAAGGGCAGCGAGAGAAGATGAGAGAGAGAGAGAAAAGCAATGGAGAGGAGGGAGAGAGGAGAGGGTGACAGGGGAGATCTGACACTGAAAGATTGTCTTCATGAGTTATAGAGTTGATAGAGCACAGCTCAGTGGATAGAGCACAGCTCAGTGGATAGAGCACAGCTCAGTGGATAGAGCACAGCTCAGTGGATAGAGCACAGCTCAGTGGATAGAGCACAGCTCAGTGGATAGAGCACAGCTCAGTGGATAGAGCACAGCTCAGTGGATAGAGCACATCCCAGCTGATAGAGCACAGCCAAGTAGATAGAGCACAGCTCAGTGGATAGAGCACAGCTCAGTGGATAGAGCACATCCCAGCTGATAGAGCACATCCCAGCTGATAGAGCACAGCTCAGTGGATAGAGCACAGCTCAGTGGATAGAGCACAGCTCAGTGGATAGAGCACATCCCAGCTGATAGAGCACAGCTCAGTGGATAGAGCACATCTCAGTGGATAGAGCACAGCTCAGTGGATAGAGCACATCCCAGCTGATAGAGCACAGCTCAGTGGATAGAGCACAGCTCAGTGGATAGAGCACATCCCAGCTGATAGAGCACAGCTCAGTGGATAGAGCACAGCTCAGTGGATAGAGCACAGCTCAGTGGATAGAGCACATCCCAGCTGATAGAGCACAGCCAAGTAGATAGAGCACAGCTCAGTGGATAGAGCACAGCTCAGTGGATAAGAGTTTCACTGGGAAGTGAGGTATGTCTGGATCCTGACACGTCTCAGAAGGGGTGAGATATGCTGGGAAACACCTAAAGGTCACACACACCTAAAGGTCATTCACACCTAAAGGTCACATGTGTGAAAAGGGGGAAATATAAGCGTCCCCTATTTGACCTTTAGCAAATACAGGAAGCCTTTCCAATATGCTGTCTCTGCTGTTAGCTAACAAGCGCTCGTAATGATGTGTCAACAAGCTGCATCTTCCTCTGCTCAGCTAACAAGCGCTGGTAATGATGTGTCAACAAGCTGCATCTTCCTCTGCTCAGCTAACAAGCGCTCGTAATGATGTGTCAACAAGCTGCATCTTCCTCTGCTCAGCTAACAA